CGTTTATAGACAAACCATATATGCCGGCAAGGTGTGTCCTATAAAAGCACCTTTAGTGACGTCACGTGTTATCGCGGTATCGCGGTATTGCAATACAGCCAAAACTCTATCATTACCCAGTTTTATATCGTTTCTACCTTACATCGTTTATATTACCCAACCCTGACCACAATAGTTGTTTAATATGCTAAAAATAACCGATTACATTTATTAGATATTACTGCAGAAAAGTAGATAATGAAGTCATCTGAATATTCTTTTAAATACACATTTTAAGGTAAGACCTGGCTCGTTCGTGAACCTGAGCATGTTTCGTGTGATTAAACTCTCTTACGGTTGCAACACCTGTTGGTCATTAGTAACGACGTGTTTTCTTTTGTTTATCCGACCACCAGAGAGAGAGAGAGACCTGAGGTTTGATGCTCGAGTCTTGTACGGTTGAACCTTTCTGCTCGTGCTGAGCTCAGTTGAAACTTTCTCTGTGGGCAGATTTGTGTGTTTACGTAAATCTGCTGCAGCTTGCTGCCAAAGCCTCCCACACGGCCGGCTCTAGAGGAGCTGCAGAGCCGTTTCTTTACCAAATGTCACACAACACCCAGCATTGCTCCTGCGACTCCCGTAAAAGCTCATTTACATCACTGCACCACCGAGGCAGGGGGGGGGGGGGAAGCCACAGGGAAGCATTTGAATGAGAGACGTGTGTCGTCAGGCACAAACTGCAGAAACGGTTTTTCCTGCTTAACGCCATGTTGTAGTCAGGGACACCTGCTAACAGACAAAAAGGTAATAACTCACTCCTCACTGAGCCAACACACACACACACACACACACACACACACAGGGCGTGCTCGTGACCTCGTGTCTCTGCACATCCTCTGAGAGAATGCGTGAGGGTGCAGCAAATGTAAAAATCTGGTCATGTTTTTTTTAAATCCACAAACCTTTAAATGCAGAACAGAATTCTGCAGGTTTTAAACCCAAACTCTGAATTATTTCCGTTTCAAGCCAGCTTCGACTGAAGACTCTAGGAGTGAGGATAAGGAGAAAGCCTCCTAGCAAACTTCTGCTCATTCCCTGTTGGAGAGATCACCTCGTCCCTCGCAAGGTGATCTTATAACAGCAGGATTCCCACAAACCTTTCTTAAACTCCTCCAGCATGGCGTCCAGCTTGGTGTCATGGAAGACAAAGTGGACTGGGTGGTTGTAGAACTTGGTGATGGTCTTCAGGGTGGTGCAGTCGTCCGGGTCCACGAAAGCCAGGTCCTTGACGAAGAGGATGTCCACGATGTTGGAGCGCTCGCCCTCGTAGACCGGGATCCGGGTGTATCCGCTCTCCATGATCTCAGACATGGTGTTGAAGTCCAGCACGGCGTCGCTGCTCAGCATGTAGCAGTTGTTCAGGGCAGTCATGACATCCTCCACCGTCTTGGTCCGGAGCTCCAGAGCTCCTTGGATCATGTTCAGCTCCTCTTTCACCAGGTCGTTGTATGGTTCGGTGACCCTCAACATCTCCACCAGCTTCTCCCGGTTGTACACGGTTCCGATCTCCTGGCCCAGGACGCAGTCGAGGACCTTGCTGATGGGCCAGGACAGAGGGAAGGTGAGCAGCATGAACAGCTTGGTGAGGAGGATGGTGTTCGCCCCCACTGCCAGGCCGTGGCGGGAGCACAGCGCCTGGGGGACTATCTCTCCAAAGATCACAATCCCGACGGTGGAGGCGACCACCGCCCCAAAGCCGGACTTGGTGAGGTCGTCCAGGAGGATGGTGAGGGTCGTGTTAACCAACACGTTGCCCAGGAGCAGGGAGCACAGCAGATAGTTTCCCTTCCTGCGGATGGGCTCGATTTTCCGAGCGTACTTCTTCTCCTTCTCGGTGCCGCAGCTCTGCACGATGCGGAGCTCCATCGGGTCCAGCGCCATCAGCCCCAGGTTGAGCCCACTGAACATCCCAGACAGCACCAACAGGCAGCAGATAAGGATCACCTGCAGCCAAACGGGCAGCAGGGACTTCTTCTCCTCCACCACACGCAGCTTCCCGTCTTTATCGTCCAGCCGGATCCACCTTTGCTCCTGAACGTCGAGGACGCACAAGACAAACACTTTCAATGCTTCTCTCTTCCGCAGCTGCTTGATGCTGAGGGAGACAACTCCGGACGTGTTTTGGTTGCTTACAACCATAGGTCCCTTCACTACGATGTCCTTCGTGTGTTCGGTACAAGTTCTGTTTAGTTGGACCACCGCCGCGGCGGAAGAATCGTCCTCTGTTTCACTGTAGTAAAGTTCAGTGAACCCGATGAGGTCCGAGCTGTTTGGAAACAAGTGGAGCCCGTAGAACCTGAAGGAGACGTCGCTGCCCTCGGTCACCTGGATATCTCCTGCCTTGGTGGTCTCGGCCGGGCTGCTGCTGCTCTCCAGCCTCATGCCGAGTATCCGCGTGGTTCCTCTTGGCTCCGGAACCGCTGCTTCAGCCTCCCTGCTCGCGAACACACCAAAAAACACAAATAAAGTTAGCTGTAACCCCAGTCCGCTTCTGTCTGTCGCCATGTTTGTTTGACTCTCTGACAACGGAGGAACTGACGTCTCTTTTCCACAAACCAACCCTCCTTGTTAGCATGTTTAGTCTTAGCCAATTGACGAGCGATACGTCACTCCCTGTTTGGACCAAGCCTTCTCGGTGGACTTTTTTAAAGGTCGACTGGATATTTGGCTTTTTAAGGTGGCGCGTCTATACTTTTAAATGTTCTTGATATTTAGCATTTTAATGTAATCCAATATTATTTGATATTTATGTGGAAAACTATAAATGTTAATTTGGTTTTATGTAATTTACGGAGCAGTCAAAATAAAATATAAATGAAATGCTTCACTCGTTACTTTACTGTACGATGCTAACCCAAATGCAACCAAACAGAAATCAAAATCAAATGGTGTTATTTACATGGACAAGAAAAGATAATATAAGGAAGACAATAATTAAATCAAACGTGATCTTAATGTTAAACGTTTTGGGGGCTAGCACAAAGTTTGGGACTTGTTCTGCACACCTGATCACAGTGCTGTTGCTCAAAAAGCAAATTAACAAGCTCAACTTATTTAAACCAGTTAGCAAAGACTAAACAAACACATTTTAAAGTATGTAATTTTCATTTTAATTGGCTTCAAAAGAGGAATGCTCAACATGCTGGAATTGTAGCACCACCTTGTGGTCAAATTAGGAACATCATGGGTGACAAATCGATTATCTTCTTCAGTTATTCAAATGAAAATCAATGTGTTAATTTGGTGCTATTAGAAATGGCCATTTAATGCCCTACATTTGATAAATAATTATGGCAGAAATTGGATTTACTGACAAGAGGTAAATTCATTATAAAGCTATTTAGCTTTCAAATGGTTTTACCCACCACCAGGAAAATGTAATCAAATATTTTACTTTTCAGAGATTTACAGAGTTGAGAATTTCTTGAGATGAGTAGATCATCAAGACAATTTATTAATGTTTTTTCCTGTTCTTTTTTATTATTATTTGCAAATATTTCTTTTGTATGTCTGCTAAATTTACCCCGAACTACAACATGTGGTGTTTAGTGTTAAGAAGTTCTATTGTTATCAAAATAATAATAAAATGTGACTTTTATATTATTATGTTATACCATCATTGCCACAAATGAATTACAAATGCAGTGTTGCATTGATTTATGGGAGGGTGGGGGGTAAACAGTAAGAAAACATCATATTTCATGTATGATGACGTCATAAGAGTTGATGTTGCACAGTTCGCCAGCTAGAGGTCATAATTGTCCTTAACACCCCAATTAAAACTCCGTGTCACGTGACCACTTTTTTTTTGTCAAAGTTTCCTCTTTGTTCTCCGTCGCGCGCGCTCGCTCTGATAGGAGCGTGCGCGACGGCGTGTGGAGGGAGGAGGAGAGCCCAGAGGAGAGAGGGAGGAGAAAGAAGCAGCAGGGAGAAGAGGGGCGACCAGGAGGAGTAGGAGGAGGGAGAACATTTTCTTCTAGTCTGGAAGTTTTCTGCTGAACACCGCGGCGACTCGCCGCTCTGCGCAACCGGAGGACGCACGGTAAGAAACGGTGACTTTCTTTCTTCTGTCGGTCTGAGAAGGGTCAAGGTGAGGCTGGAAGGAGGACGACGCTTCGGGATGGAGTTTTGGAGTTTTAAAAAAAAATTTGGCAGGAGCATTGAAGAAATTTACCCGGGAAGACATTACACCCCCCCCCCCCCCCACCACCCACACACAAATACACACATTATAAAGTCACACACACATAAGAAAGTAACGGAAAGAACGAGACAAAGGGATGAGAGGAGTTGGACACAAACAGCTATTCTCAAAAAAGTTTCTTTTAAACGAAAATAATTGGCGTCATAGTCACCTCCACTTGTAGTCCCTTAGGGTTCCAGCCTCATGAGCTTTATTTATTATAGGGGTCATAATTAAAATTTATAATAAGAGACAAAATTAAAGTTAAAAACGTGAATTTATTTGTTCTGGTTGTTTTGGAACTGAGAGGTTTAGCTGTGATGTCACGGTGAGTCACTTCTGAGGCGGAAGACATCATTTATATCCAGTAAGAGCGTAGTTTGCAGGTTCAGACAGATAAATCACACACACACACACACACGCACACGCACACGCACACACACACACACACACACACACACACACACACACACACACACACACACACGCATTGCCTCCAAGGCTCCTGGATATCTGTTGCAATGAGACTTTCTTCTGGAGGATGATTAAATAGACAACGTGTAGTTTTTACTGTTAATCTCTGGAAATATCAATGAAAATGCTGAAAGTGACTTAGACGATGCCCAGTTGTTGACTAATATTGGCGGTTTTGTAACATAAAAACTGGCTCTAAAATACTTACGTCTTTGGGCGACGCCTTATTAGATTTTTTGTTTTCTCCTACGGGAGCCCGTGAGGACAAAATGCTCTTACTAATTCATAACGAACAGTTACAAAACTTTCACCATTGATAAACATTGTTTTACACATTTGCCCCTTAATTCGTTGCCATGGAAAGGAGTCTGATGTTTGTCATCTTGCTGGAGGTTGAAGGCTCTGACGAAGCGCTTGTTCAAAAATTGGACTCTCTGGGATTTTTGACCCTAATGGCCATCCGTTGGTGAGGTGCTTCTGCGTCGTCGGTACAGAGACACGCAGCGCCATTGCTAACGCCATTATCCGTCCTTGCGAGGACTCTCCAGCAGGCTTGCAAGGATGGACAGAGTCAAGCACACTTTTCTAAATATCCGTCAAATGAGATGGAGAATGCAAGCTTGTGATTGGTCAGGATTAGGGCTGCAACAACGAATCGATAAATTCGATGAAAATCAATTACTAAAAGCGTTGGCAACGAATTGCGTCATCGATTTGTTGTGTTGCGCAACTCTTCCAAAAAAAAGGAGAGAAATAACGTTTCCCTAGCAGTTTTTAAAAATGTCCCTATGTAATCCGATTAATCGATTAATCGTGTCGAGACCCCATCCGATTCATCGATTATCCAAATAATCGTTTGTTGCAGCCCTAGTCAGGATGCCACTTTCGTCAGCAGCACCGCCATTGTGCCCTCATAAAGAGAGCCGAAGATATCTAGCCACAGACACGGAGCAGCTTGAAGAAAACCTCACAGAAAATCTCAAAAAATATGAACGTCTTACTCACCCATGACTGGAGGAGTAAAAAGATGCACAGCAAGTGTTTTACTCCTGGATGGAAATGATGGAAACGTGGGTTTAGAGGTGGCGAAATATATGAGCACATTAGTAAATACCCTATCGTGGATGGGAAACATGAGTGTAATGGTGGTAGGATACCACAAAAAAGCGCTACGCTAAGCCACTGTTTTCCTGGTGGGAATTGTTTCGCAACACTCCGCTGTCTGCGCAGAAGTTCGTATGTAAACCTTTCCGACACTCCATGTGCGTCTCTACGTTGCGGAGCTCACAGAAAAGTATAAATCAGGCTTAACTCAAGCACAAAGTACTGCTTGGAACAACTTAGGTATGTACTTCCCTAGGGCTGCACGATATTAGGAAAACCTGTGATATTCGAAAACAATGATTAATATTGCGATGACGATATTACTTGCGATAAATTAAAACTTAACTCAGGATCAAAAACAATCAAAAACAGAGAAATTAAAAAAATCATAAAATTGAGAAAAGCAAAATGTCTGTGCAAAAGTCGTGCAGCTCAGTTGATTATAGAATTTTTTTATGTAATACAAAAATGTCAAAGCTGTTAAACAAAGCATTCAAATAGCAGAGTAGAGGAAAACAACAGCGGAATAAGGATGACGGTAAGATTTGATCAGGAGAAATCCAGGAGGGTGATGACTGACGGGTAACAGGATAACAGCTGATTACAGGTGAATACAGGTGATTACAGGTGAGCACAGGTGAATACAGGTGATTACAGGTGAGCACAGGTGAATACAGGTGATTACAGGTGAGCACAGGTGAATACAGGTGATTACAGGTGAGCACAGGTGAATACAGGTGATTACAGGTGAATACAGGTGATTACAGGTGAGCACAGGTGATTACAGGTGAATACAGGTGAATACAGCTGATTACAGCTGATTACAGGTGAGCACAGGTGATTACAGGTGAACACAGGTGAATACAGCTGATTACAGGTGAATACAGCTGATTACAGGTGAATACAGGTGAATACAGGGGAATACAGGTGAATACAGGTGAATACAGGTGAACACAGGCGAATACAGGCGAATACAGCAGATTTCAGGTGATTACAGGTGAATACAGGTGAACACAGGCGAATACAGTTGAATACAGCTGATTTCAGGTGATTACAGGTTGAATACAGGTGAATAAAGGTGAATACAGCTGATTTCAGGTGATTACAGGTGAATACAGGCGAATACAGGTGAACACAGGCGAATACAGTTGAATACAGCTGATTTCAGGTGATTACAGGTGAATACAGTTGAATACAGCTGATTTCAGGTGAATACAGGTGAACACAGGCGAATACAGGTGAACACAGGCGAATACAGTTGAATACAGCTGATTACAGGTGATTACAGGTGAATACAGGTGAATACAGGCGAATGCAGCTGATGACAGGTGAATACAGGTGAACACAGGTGAATACAGTTTAATACAGCTGATTACAGGTGATTACAGGTGAATACAGGCGAATACAGGTGAATACAGGTGATTACAGGTGTGAGGTGTAAGCTAAAGAGGAGCTAAATAAGTTGTGGAGTTAGTGATGTGAATTATGACTTTCGATCCACGTGTCACCGGCCAATGTTGTGCATAAATTAATCTGAAGAAAGGACAAAAGGGACTTGAAAGACTAGAGAAGGCTTCATTAGAAGTGGAATCCTTCAAGTCAGAAATATTTAATCTAGGGATGGACAATATATCGCCATCAATATCGGTATCGGCCAATGTTAGTCATTTTTAACATATCGGTATCGGTTTGATAAATAAAACCGGGCCGATATGTTTTCCATCTTGTCTCCATTTGTTTGCCTGTTTCAGAGGGGGGAACAGTGAATGAAATCATCTCAGAACTGTAAATGTGTGTGGTGTGTGTACATAACGTAAATTCAGCTTTAATCATTTTCATTTTATACAAAATCTGCTGATTTTATAAGCGTTAATGTCAGAATATCGGTTTCGGCCAATATTGGTTATCGACCATAACAATGATCTTAATATCGGTATCGGCCCAAAAATTTCATATCAGTGCCTTGATTGACCTGAACCGCAAGTCAATCATTAAAAGAAAAGTCCAGAAGACCTTCAGAAGACCTGGAAAACTGTTTGCTCAACGGCACTCAAACAATTACAAGGAATTTGGCTTCTTGGAAGTGAAAAGGTTTTCTGTGTTGTTTAGAAGAAGTCCTCGGTAGGACTGCAGAAGCGGATCGGAACAAGACATTATGAGATTTTTCGTGAGACGCTGTTGCCAGGGGCAACATTTGAACCCTTAACACCTAGGTTGTGACATCGTCCATGTTTACTAACAGTAAAGTTTAAACTGGTTAGAATATATGTGTACACAGTTTTATTACAACTGTTTGTGTCTGAACTGTTTAATTAGTCACATTTAAACCAAAGCTTAACACATTCACACGTTTAAATGAAACCAAAGTTGTACCTGATGTGTGTTTGCAGAGATAATCGACACATTTTTGTTTATTAGAAAAAAACCTGAACTTTTTGGGCTAATTTAAGCCCAGAACACACGAATAACTCCAACTAAAGTACACATTAGCTGTCACAAACCTGGGATTCTGTCTCCATTTAGCTCTCAGACTTGCATACATTGAATGATATAGTTTGTGTCACAGCTGATGAGCTGAGTTCACAATCAAAATGTCAGCGTTTTATTAGGTAAGATGAGAAGAGGAGCGGCTTTTGTGGCCCAAGAGGTCGGGTGAATAATTCAGAGGTTGATTGTTTTGGTCTTTTTGGCGCGGCGTGCTCGCTTCAAAGCACTCATGTTGTCATAACGTGCCCCCCCCCCCCCCCCCATTTTCCACCTCGGTGTTGTGCTAATTTCTGCCATGAGGGAGGAGGAGACTCATTTTCAGGTCAGACCAAAACACGACAATAAAAGTTTCTGGAGGAGATCCGCGTCTGTCTCTGTTCCAAAGGGAGCGTTCTCCTCAGACATGGGAGCGGTGCTCCAGAGTCATCATCCACATGTCCCGGCAGGAACACTGATTACAAAATCACTGGGAGGTGTGTGTGTGTGTGTGTATTAATCAGTAACCTACAGGAACCTTGAAACAAAACCATCACAAACACTATTTCACTGCTGTTTTCTGTCTGGATCTGGTGAGATTTAATTATTTCTCCAGTCAGCTGAACACATTATGGCTGACAGATACGAGCAACGTGGAAATCTGATAGAATAAAACTAATAAACAATCATCAGGCTGCAGCCGTACTGTTAGTGGGTTTTCCTCACTGTGCAAACAGGAGCCGTTAGGAGGTAATCTTCCAGGTACAGGTGAGTTATTTTTAGCCTGAAAACCGTTCTCTGTGTGAGCAACCAGTTAATCACCTAAACCAGCCACTAACACCTTCATTAACCAGTACCTTGGGTGAAAATCAAATTCTAACCTTGTTCATGTGTTTGTGTGATCTTTAGAAGACACGAGGCAAACCGAGGCGTGGTCGGGGACACGAGAGTTGGAGGCGCACCAAAAAAATCAGCTGACCAGATTCAGGTGTAGGGTCCCCGAACCCCAAACAGAGATGGAAACAGGTGATTTTAAGTCATTATCAGTAATATTCAGTGTTGGGAGTAAGGCGGTACAAAAGTAATTAGTTACTGTAATGCATTGCTTTTTGCTGTAATGTGGTAATGTAAGGCATTACAGGGAAAGAAAATGGTAATAGTTACTCGGTACAATTGTCAGTAACGCGGTAATTACAATGCATTTTTAAACCCAGAATCAAGATGTGGGTTTCCTAAAAATTCAAATAGCGGGAAGCCTGAAAAAAGATCCAGTATCCACATATATGACGTCATTTATGGACTCAGCTTTGCGGGCATTCTATGAGCAGAGAGGACGCAGCGGTAACGGCTCAAACACTCCAGCTGCGTCCTGCACGCGGCCGCTGTTATACTCACAAAACCGCTCCACCACAACAAAGTCATTCGTTTGCGATCGTTCATATCAGCCCATATTCTCTGGTACTTCATGTTCTTTTCAGCTGAGTTCATAATCTGTGCCCCGGTGATTTCAGCTCATTGCTGCTGGAGCGCAGCGCAGATTAAGCTTTTTTTTGCGTTCGGTAGAGCCCTTTGGCTGATTGGTTAGAAAGTAGGAAGTCTAGGAAACAGTTTTTCTGGAAGACGGAGAAAACATGCAGCATGCAGGAAGGTTAGAGAGAGAAAGGGCCGGAAATTATTCACATAAAATCAAGAAAACTAAACAAAGTGCTTGAAAAGAAAAAAAGTCGGTAGATTTATCCCCAATACACATGTTTACCAGTGAAAAGCAATAATATATAAGCATTTAATATTTATACATGTGATAGAATCAGATCTCCCCAGAAGTCAGTCCCACATCCAGGGCCGTATCAAGGCATTTGGGCACCAAGGCAAATATAGGCTTGGAGCCCCCACCACCTCACTCCCTGCTCAGTTAATATAAGATGGCAGCGTGCTGAGAGTACAGATTGTTGTTGTTTTTATTTAGTAAACAATCATTTTAAAGCACTTTTATTATATCTTGACTGTTTATAACAGCAACCGTAGCTCAGACACCACTTCACCTTCCACATATATGTCATGAGCTCACTGAGCGTCACATGACCAGATTCATACTGAAGTTGTTTTGGTTAAAGTAACTTAAAGTAATGCAAAAGTAGTGTAATGCCTTGCATTTTAAAATCAGTAATATTGTAATGTAATCAATTACATTAAAATGAGGGTAACAAGTAATAAATAATGCATTACAGTTTTGAAGTAACTTGCCCAACACTGGTAATATTAAGGCAAACTTTAACAGAAGTTTATTAGTTAAATATTTCTTATCATTGATATTTGACCAAATCTTAGAAATCTTTGAAGTTTGTGTTTTTCATGGATTAAAATCCTGAACTTTACCATCGTTGAGCCGACCCACTGATCCACTAAACCTGCTTTTATTTAGTTTTCTCTTCTGTGTATTTAACCTTTGTCTTTATGATCAGGCGCGCCGGTCCTTAACGGTTTGTCTGATGCAGAATATGTGCGCTCGTCTGTGGTTGCTTGGTTAAAGGTTTGCAGGCATTGGCGTTAAGTTGGAGAAAAAAAAACACACAAGAGAAGGTGGAAAAAGCCAGCAGATGAGTCGGACTGAGCTGTTAGTTTCTGTGGTTGAGATCCTGAATCACACCCGTACCTGACTGCGCCACAGTCAGTAGAACTGCTGCGGCCAGACTTCTTCTGAAGCTCGCGTGAAAGCAAAAGTCCTCCTTCGAAGACTAAACGTCAGTGATCGATCATGAGAAACCTCAACTGGGAAGTTTGGTGTCATTTGCACATAAAACTGAAGTCCAGCCGTGAGTTCTCATGATTCTGCATAAACAAAAGTCACATTTAAACACAAACTTCTGCTTTACGCAAACATTTAGCCTCCTCATTCGGAAGTTTGTCTTTCAAACACGAGATCCCAAATGGTGTTGAGTTTAGTTCGGCCCAGCATCGCTGCAGGATCCTGCTGGAGTTCACTTTCTGCTGAAGTCTGTGGCTTTTCCACTGTTGAGTGAATATTAATTCAATAATTCTGAATAAAATGAACAAAAACTTCCCGAAATATAAGTTATATGGAAGAAAAATGGGTCTTAACTGCAGTAAGGTAATAACTGAGTTAGGGATGCACCGATACAATACTGTATTGGTACCGGTGCCGATACCGATACCAATACCAGTATCGGTATCGGTAAAAGTTAACCGATACCAATGCAGTTGCTTGAAAATGGCTTCACTGTAACTTGTCATTTCTGTTCACCTAATATTTTACTTTTGCAATGATTTCTATTCACGTACTTTACTTTTTTCTACCTCACAGTCTTTTCCTGTTGAAAGCAGAGAAGAAAATAAAATCTGTATTCCAAATCATTGCATTTTTTTGTGTGGTAGAAGTATCGGTATCGGCGAGTACGCAGATGCAAGTATCGGTTAGGAAAAAAGTGGTATCGTTGCATCCCTAAACTGAGTCCAGGTTTTGTGTAACTGAATTTAATTTTTGACATTTTTTCTATTTTTCCTCCAATTTTCTAATAAAAGGGTTTTGTCTTTCTGTTGTTTGAACATTTTTATTTGTTTGTCACCCGTTTTAGTTGAGAAGGTGCCAGAAGACAGCATTTATCATGTTATCAGATAATTCTCTACAGCTGGAAACAGGAGACGTTTCGGTTTATTTACTCATGAAGTCCGAAGCAGAGGCGGCTTCCTTGTTTGATCCATTTCCTCTTTTTAATCAGTGTTGACAACATTTTGTGTTTTAATGACTTACTTTACTGGTTTGTTGTCCGAAATGTGTTTTTTTTAATACTTTAAACACAGCAACAGACTAATAACTGAAGAAGTACTTCAATGCAATAAAACTACAGATAAAATAAATCAGAACTCAAACGTGTAGTTTCACCTCAGCGGTACAAACCGTCATCCAGCGGTTGTAGGTTTCATTCCTGCTGATCAGCTAATGAAGTTCTTGGGTTCATCTTTAAATTCCCCCTCCTTTCCCCGCAGCACGAAGCATGGCCGCTATAATTAGCAGGACTTCTGATAAGACAAGTGCTTGTTGGTGGAGACGCACCTAAAAATGCAGGCTGGTGCTGCTGAGCAAAAACGAATGATCCGAACCGGACTTTGGACACATTAAAGGGGCATTATGGAAGTGTGACATCCAAAACATGTATAGAAATAATAAATGTCTTCTTCATACGTTCTCCTGCAATGCCCTGGTCCTGTAGAACGAGCCCTGGCATTTTTACTGTGATTGCCTGTTTTTCTGTAAAATCACAGAAAAAGAGAGATGCTCGGGTCGAGCAGGCTGCTTCATGCGCGTTCACGCTCAGGCATCGCCCGTAGCATTTGCTATCCGTAGCTTTAGCAGCAGAGAGAGAGGCAGTGCCACTTTGTCGCTGTTCCTAACGCCTAGTGACAAAGCTAGCTACATTTCTGAGGACCCTTAGCTACTTTCTGTAGAACTTTCTTCTAGATATTTCCTGCTAATTAGCAACAAAATAGCCATTTTCACTCCGAACCGTTCTTTGAACGTTGTTTCAGCTGTCATCAAGGATATAAATGTTACAGATACAGAAGACGTCACTGGCGCTGTAGCTCACCTAGTAAGACGTCTGACTCCCATGCAGAAGTCCTGGGTTTGATTCTGGGTGTGAACATAGTTTATTTAGAGTTTCTTTTTTACATTAATGGTATATTTTTTACAGTAAGATGCCCAAATTTTTATTTGAGACTCGCCGAACGGCATTGAATTCACAGATAAAAAAGATGTGGGTTCAACTTTCATTTTGGAACAATTTTTCAAGCAAGGGAAGGGAATGATCTGAGCATGCAGGAGGACTGACCCATCATAAACCTTTGTCGGCTGTGCTGAAGAGAAAGGTACAGAACCAAATTATTTAATTAATTAGCTGCACGTTCTCCTGTCCTCTGTCCTCCGGACCACACACACACACACACACATACACACACACACACACACACACACACACACACACACACACACACACACACACACACACACACACACACACACACACACACACACACACACACACAAGTGACTGTCTCAGCTGTTATTTTCGTTAAGGAGTGTGCACGTACAGCATGCGCGCCTCGTGCACGAGCCTGCTATTGAAGCTGCCGTTACGCTTTTGGCCTGAGGGGGCGATCGCGAGCATATAAATTCAGAACTCTGTAAAGTCCCTTTAAAAAATCTAAATACACCCATTGCCGGCACAAATGTGTCTCTGTTTTAATTCTGTAAGTTTAGAGAAAGAATGTCAGATAAAGGGTATTTTGTCATCAAAAATCAAACAAATCTAAGATGCTGTGTCTAGATTTCTGTTGCAGTTTCTCTGCAGCTTTAGAGACGGTTCAGCTGCCTTCTTCTTGTACATGTTTGCCTCTTTTAAACGTCCTCAGATCTCTGTTTACTGTTAGAAAGTCACACACGGAGGGGAAATGCTGGAAATGCAGCAGCTGTGCTGACTGGTTTATCTTATTAGGTTTCCTGCACTGACTCTGATCCATGTTTAGTTTAGTTAGATAAAACTCACAAGTGCATCACGTCAAACACGATTTTTAGCTCTTACCAGTAAATATCACACGGCAAGATCATTTTTATATCAACCGAATGGCACAGCGACGACAGCAGTGCAGGTGTGAGATGAAAGAAAATGCAGAATGATTCAGGAAAACCAGAGTGGAGGTGGGAAAATAACTTATTTTATTGTCTGCTGTTTGGAGGAAGCCCAAATGCACTCTCTCACACTCATTTCTTCTTTTTCCATGAGCAGGACAGAGGATAATAGACCAGTGTTCAGTTAAGAAACAGGAGATCACCGATTGGACAAGAGGGCCATTCATGTGTGTGACCTTTGACCTGTGAAGCCAGCCACAGGTGACTCTGACACGGGGATACTTTTACGCACCTTTATTTACTGGAATCAGTGTTTTTTTAGGAAACCAGAAGCGAGTTAGAGAAAATGCGGTGCGTTTGTTAAACGTCAGGAAATGCAGCT